CAGTTGTCACTGCCAGCTGTGGTCATGGCTGAAAATGTTTTGTTATAAATCTGTCAATTAGGAATAATATAGAGCAGTCTTTTTCAGCCTTAAGAACTTTAAGATGTGTGGACTTCAACTCCCAGAATTCCCCAGCCAGAATACTGGGGAATTCTGGGAGTTGAAGTCCGCACATCTTAAAGTTCTTAAGGCTGAAAAAGACTGCTCTATATTATTCCTAATTGACAGATTTATAACAAAACATTTTCAGCCATGACCACAGCTGGCAGTGACAACTGGGAATTTTGATAATATATGTTGGGGATGATGGAAGCTGGAATCAAAAAAACCTCTGGAGGGCATCAGGTTGGGTAAAGCTACTCCCCTGTTACTTACAAGACTATTTAGTTCATTTATCATGAAACTGCTGAAAGTAGGGGAAGGAAGTAGTGGTTCATCCGACACAGCATCCATTTACTGTGATCTTTTCAACCTTCAGGTACCTTTAGTTGCATTTGGATGGAGATGTCTTTGGAAAATGCATAGCAAGCATCAATCTGCAGTGTTTCAAAGACTACCATGCCTGATCATTTGCCCAGAAGGAAACAGACAAAATAGTACAACATCCTTTAATAGAATCTATCACATCCCATTTCTAACCATCAAAACTATTTTAAACTATCTTCCTGTTTTTTAATCCTTCTCCCTGTATTTCAATAAACTTTATTTTTCTGGCCTATCAAAACAGAATGTGGGCCTGGGCATATGAAAAAGACCTCTGTTTGTCTCAAACCCATTCCTTCAGCCTAAACTAACTGATTAAAGCTGGATCAATTGTAGGCTGGAATTATGGCTCTCTGTTACTGAGAGTTGGTGTAATAATCAAAGTGTCAAGCTAGAACTGGGCTTCAAATTCTTGTTTCTGGATGATCTTGTTCTTTACTGTATTTCAATTAAAACTAATTCTCAAAATTAGTGAGATGGTGACAAATTTGAAATATAAATAAATAAATATAAATATATAAACTTCAGACAGACCATTCAGCTCTGATTTAAAACATAAATGCAAATGCAGGTTTTTCCATTCAGCAGCCAATGGGGGGCAGGGGGCCGGGGCATAAAGCAAAGTATCTTCCAATCCAGCCATCTTCCATCCTTCTGAGGTCCAGCGGTTTTTTGCTTTCAACCTGCACCATGGGACTTGATTAGTGATACTCCACTTAAAATAGGGCAATTATTTTCTGCCGCTGTCTGTATTGGCCGTTGAGATGCCAGTGACTAGATTGTAGGGTATTCCATGATTGCTTTCATGATGTTGCTTGTTTTAACTCATTTCTGAGAGGATGTTCCCAGTGGGAGATAAAGGATAGCCACTTGTGTCATCCCATTAAGACATCTTGCTAAGGTGACCTATAACCCACCAAACGTAACTGAACAACACCACCAGCATTCCTCTCCTTCAGCTGTGCTGATTGGGGGCTCTGGGAGTTGGATTTTACACCAACTGGAGGCCTGCATGTTCTTAAAATTAACCCTAAGATCTTCCTGCAAAATGCTGCTGTGTACATTCCAAGGTTATGTATATGCAAGACTGTTAAGCAAGATAAGGTAGATGACTGGAAGTTTCCGTCATCAGCACACTTAATATTCATCCATTCATTCTTTGTTTATCCATGTCTGTATCATGTCTGATCTTGTGCATATAAATCACAGAGTCTGGTAAATGTGGCCAAGGAATGTAGTCTGAGTTCCTCACTTAGCTTCCCATTGAAGACTTAGAGAAGAAATGCTACTTAATGGTTTGGCAGGACCAAGGGCTGCAGTGAGTGGAAAAATCACAAAAAATGGATGGGGTCACACAATACATGTGGGATTGGGATTTTCTGAATTTTGAGGGCGTGGGTGAGTAGGTTCCTGGTGTTTTAAACAATGCTCATTTAAGTTTACCCTACAGTGAATTGAAGTTTAGTGATTATCTGAAGGAGCTCTGGTGATCACAGTTGCTCACCCTTGGTTGAGGACTGGGATCCTTGACTTCATAAAACAGCCCTCCCGACCAGATGCTCTCCAGATGTGGCGGATCTCACTTGCCATCAAATATCACAAGGGGCTGAAGGTGATGGCTGGAGATGAGGGGTACTGTAGTCTAAAATTAACTGGACAGAACCAGATTGGGAAAACTAGTGCAAAATAACAGTGATTTACATCAATTGTCACTGACTGTACTTTGTCATTTACATTTGTGATAAATACAGTGAATAAAAATATAAGTGTTACATATTATTTAATATTAAATGCCTCAATGTTACATAGATTAAACATAGAGTTTTCATCTCTTTGATCTTAGATTCTGCTTAGGCAGCAAGGGGCCTTTTGGCAACTTGCTAATGAAATATTTGAGCATGGGCTTTTGTACCACTGCAGAAAAAGGTGAGATAAATCACAGCTAATTTAAGTTCCCTAACTCCGTGCAGGTCAAGGCACTCCTTCGCAACTGGAGGCGGAGGGAGGGAAACAAGGCGTGGGCTGGTGCCTCAACTTCCTCCACACAACTCATGAAAGGAATGTGGTGGTGAGCTCACACTCTCCTCCGCCCTGGCTGAGTCAAGCGTTGGGTCCTAGACTCCGCCGGTAATCCACCCCTTCTCGAGGAAACTCTGTAAGCCTTTGCATTCCAGGGCAAGTCCAAGCCTCCACTCTTCTGCAACTCCCGGTTGCAAGCCGATTCAGGTTTTGACTTGATGTTTTTGGTTTCACGCCACTGAAATTTGCATTCACTTAAAAAGGGCCAGGTGTTATTCAGCTCCCATCTTACCCCAACATCTCTTCCTCATTCCAGAAGGCTCACTGATTTCCTGCATCTCAGAAATCCATCCCTACAGCTATGTGTCGCTCCCAATAGCATACTGCAGTGTTTCTCAACCTTGGCAGCTGGAAGATGTGTGGACTTCAACTCCCAGAATTCCCTAGCCAGCGTGTGCTGGCTGGGGAATTCTGGGAGTTGAAGTCCACACATCTTCCAGTTGCCAAGGTTGAGAATCACTGCTTGTACAGTACAATAAAGAACTTGGACCTTCCACCAACTAATCTAAACGTTCCACTAGAAAGTCAGAAGTTGCGTTCAACCCAACTTGGCTAGCTGCTTTTTTGCCTTAGCGTGTTTGTATGAACCCAGTCACCGTGGCTAATGTGCAACACAATCCCTCACGGGGACCCAAGAACTTGGGTTGATTTGACCAAAACAAGAGTTCTATCCGGATGTGTCGTGTAAAAGCGCCGTAAAGTCGCCACGTGGGCGCCTCTGCGCCTCGTTGAAGATAGGCAGCTCCCTCTTTCAGGGGCTCCTGCGCATCCCCCGTGTTTTGCGAGGAATCCGAATGCCGCTTCTATGTGAAAGTGCTGTATAACTACGTCCATTCTGATTTCATCATCGCAGGCGCAAACCTCTCCAACCTGGCCTCCTCCTGGCCTCCCACTTCAGGGTGGAGGGCACCGCCTGCCGAAATACCCGATCTAAGCCACTGCAGCATCTTAAGCAGCGCCCGGGGTGCGCGCTGAGCGGAGCGCCTCCCTTGCTCCCGACTGGTCCACCTCGGGGCGGGGAAGAAACGCGGGCCCGGCGAAGCTTGTTCCGGGCGTGGGACCTCCCCGTAGCGGCTCCCGCTGGCCAAATAGGGAAGCGGAGCTGCCAGCGATCGCCGAGCTTCGCTCCTCAGAGGGCCCACCCTGGACCGCTCAGCCATATTTTGGGGGGGTCGGAGGATGGCTGCTGCGACGGAGCGTGGGGGCTTTTGAGTGTTTTGGTCCGATTACTCCCCCCCACCCCAATAAGGAAGCGAACAACTTCTGCCAAGCAGGATGAATCCCAGCGAAGGTGCGGCGCCGCTGGAGAAATACAAGCTGGTGGTGGTCGGGGGAGGCGGCGTGGGCAAGAGCGCCCTAACTATTCAGTTCATCCAGGTAACTCGGAGAAAGCGCGGAAGGGCGGGGCAGGACTGGGTTGGGTAGGGCGGATGGGTCAGGGCTAAACAAACTTTGTCGGTCTGTTTTCGTGTTGGGTGGCTATCCCAGGACTTTGTCCATTAGTGTTAAGTGTGTGCGTGTAAGTTCTGCTGAAACGACTGGAACGTTTCCAACTTAAATGTGCATAGATTTATAGCCCCATTTAAGCAACTTTGGCTGCCAACATACGCCTACTTAGGAATAACGCCCCAGGGAAACATGACATGAGTGCAAACATTTTTTAAGCTAACTGCCTCCAGTCTGGCGCTCTTCAGATGCCTGGAGCTACAATTCCCATCATTTTGAGGCACTGTGAGAAGTGATGCAATTTCTCATCCAGCAGATACGGAGGGCGCCAGGTTGGGAATGTTGCAGTAGGTCACCTCCATTCTGCTGTTCTTTCTTATCCTCAAAAGACAGCTGCATTTGGAGAAAGAAAGAGGTGTTAGTGAAAAGCAAGGGACATAAAAGGAGTCTTCTTGGATCAGCTTGGTGGTGCTTGTATTCCAACATTCAGCTTTGCAGAGAAGCAAATTAGGCGTATTTGTGGAGGTACATAAGATGGGTAAAGGCAGTATTCCCCCCCCCCCATTGTTTTCTGGCATTTAAGGTACCCTACCTATGATTTAAAAGCTAATAAACACTTGGCTGAACTTGAATAGGGGTCAGATCTGGTTAGAATTTGGATGAGAGACCACAAGGAAAGCCCAGAACTATAGGTTGGACTGAGAAATGGGAAACATAACTTAGAAGGTGGTAATGGAAAACTACTTCCATATTGCTACCAAGAAAAGAGAACTCAATTCAAAAAGTAAAGTCTTCTACTGCCACCTGGTAGCTATTGATAGCCCTCTGTTACCATTATTATTATATTTTTATCCTGCCTTTATATTTGGTCAACTCAAGGTGGCGAACATACCTAATACTCCTATTTTCTCCACAACAACCTTGTGAGGTGGAATGGGCTGAGAGAGAACGACTGGCCCAAAGTCACCCAGCTGGCTTTCATGCTTAAGGGAGGCCTAGAACTCACAGGCTCTTGGTTTCTAGACCAGCACCTTAACCACTATACCAAACTGGCTCTCCGTCTAAAGCAATGTTTTTCAAACATGGCAACTTTAAGATGTACGGACTTCAACTCTCAGAATTCTCTAACTAGCATGCCAGCTGGGGAATTCTGGGAGTTGAAGTTCACTCATCTTAAAGTTGCCATGTTTGAAAAACACTAGTGTAGCAGCAAGCATGGAATTGGTGACAGATGTTTGAGTGAAAGCTTGTGCCAAAGACTTTAATCAATCAATCAATCAATCAATTTTATTTCGGTCATAGACTAGCATATAACCAATGACATAGCTCTTATGCTATAGTAAGTATAAAAACAAAAATAATGTTAATAGCATAAAATAGGATGTGGATAGAATTATGAGATAAAATTGCAGTGTGAAGATATTATAAACAAAGAAAATCCTTTGTAGTTACAGTTAATTTTACAACAAATTAAACACTGTAATTAACTAAAACAAATAACTATAAAATGGTATAAATAATACTGCCAAAGACTTAAATTTTTCATGAGCAAAATTGGAAAATGAGTTTCTAGTTATTTCTGTCATCCTTAAAAATCCTTTCCTCTCATCCCCTCTTCCTCTACTTTATTTCAGTCTTACTTTGTTTCTGACTATGACCCCACAATTGAGGACTCCTACACAAAAATCTGCAATATTGATGGTACTTCAACCCGGCTGGACAGTGAGTATCAGTGGGCTCCCATTCCACGGAGATACGGTGGGTGCTGTGTGCAAATGAATGTGTGTGTGTGCAGGGGTGAGGTAGAAATTTGGGTCAGAGGGGTCTTTACATACAACGGTGTGTTTCATCCTTAGGTACTACTTGCATTACAGTGAGGGTTCCTTCATGACTACAGCTCTCAGTTTTTAATATTTCCTTACTGGCATTGCCCACTGCCATGAAGGAAAATAAGCAGGGATAAGGAAAGGGAGGCTGGCAGAGTGGGCTTCAGTGGAATAAACTGGGAGAGAAAAATTCATTGTGCACATCAGCCTTTTCCAATCTGTGCCTTCTAGATCTGCTGGACTACAGTTTCCACTAATCCCAGCCAGCAATGGTTTGTTGTTCGTTGGTTATTTGTCTAACATGTTTGAAGGGTACCAGTTTGGAGAAAACTGAAGTAAACCAACAGGGATCTGGAACTAGATGCTGTGAAACTGAGCCTGTTATTAAAATCAAGCCTGTTTGTAGAATTCTTACTGCCACAAACTTACCACCAACTATCCATTCTTGAATTTGTCACCCAACTGGAAGTAAGCTTAATCTATATTGACCATTGATGGGAGGATTTATTGATTGGAGGAGACCATAAAATGAATTTGACAGCAATGTGTTATCAAGGGGCCTGGAAGGTCTATATTTGAGTTGGTGATGATGGTTGCTGCGTGGAGGACACAGTGTCTGAGGCCTGGTCATATTTTCTTTCTTTCTTTTTAACTTTGTTTAAAACCAACAACAAAAATTGCATGTCGGGAGTGGGAAGGATGCAGCGCTTTTTAGCTACTGGAGCCTCAGCTGATCTGTTGCTGAAACCTGACTTGATGCACCTCCCACCCCAACAAAATATTTTCCTTACAGGTGACAGACACCCGTCTGTCAGAGAGTTGATGTTTTAATGTGCTGCGATCCAGCTATATATACCAACATTCCAAAAGCATCAGAGGAAATTTAAGTGGCAGTTCTTAGCACCCCAGAGCTGTCTGCCACCTTGCCAAATTTTGCCCCCCTGAGGAGTGGAGGCACATGAAATGCCACCAAAGGTAGCTATCAGAGACCTTTTTGCTGAAGGATCCCATCACAACTGGAACTGGCCGTGTCATTGCTACTAAGATGGGAGCAGGCAACCTGGTGTTCTGTGTGCATTTTAGTATATAACTCTCGTGGCTGCGTCGTCTTGAGTCTTGTAGAGTTGTAGTTCAGAACAGCGGGGGAGCATCTGGTTGCTTACCACTGCCCTAAACTCTCTCCTCTCCTCTTCTACATGCTTCACGCGCAGACTGATTGGCATCTAATCTATTTTCTTTCCCTCCCAATTTTCTCCTGTCAGTTCTGGACACTGCTGGTCAGGAAGAGTTTGGAGCCATGCGGGAACAATACATGCGTACAGGGGAAGGCTTCCTCCTGGTTTACGCTGTCAATGACCGGGGCAGGTGAGATGAAAGCTGAGGCATTTCCATGGAATGGGAACCTTTTCTTCATTAGGGCTAAGGTGTGCGTGCCACTGGTGGGTGGGGCTTTCATCAAAGATATTTGGGGTCATGATTTTCTCATTTTCTTTCTCTTTCCTCCTTGCTCACTCTTTCTACCAAAGGTGTAAAGAGATGGTTCACCTGTGGCTCATGGGCTGCAGATTGCTCAGCCTAATGGGCCAAGGAAAGGCAGGCTGGGATGTGAAGGCTTCATGAGCATTTCCTGGCTTTGCCTGCCTGTATTAGGTGCTTAAAAATTGGCAGTTCTGGGGGTTTTTGGAGGAAAAAATATTTGGCTGGTGGTTTAACTTGCAATTAGTCATGTTTATACTTCCTGAAGCTGCTATTAAAGCTATTATTAAAACTTAGTGGTAGACACAATAAACATTAAACTGGCTGGCCAGTGCATCGTGATAAGCCATAATGTTGTCTCTTTTGCTTAGGATATTGTATGAGTTCAGTATATTCATGACTTATACATAGTTAAAACAAACGATGGTTTAGAAAGCCATTGTTCCTAAATAGCTACACAAATGACAATGATACGAATTTCAAAATGGTCAGGATGCTCAAACAGACCTTTTATGAGGAAAGCACACTGTATTTGTTATAATTTTCCCCAGATAGTCTCCTGAAATGTAGGAAAAATTTACAGTAGTCTTGGTATTGGCATTGTGATTTTTCCCTCTTAGAGGCAACATGAGGGAATTCTTCATCATTTTTTTTTTTTTAAAAGGGCTGAGTAGAGGAAAAAACCCTCTTCTTTATGCTGTTGCCAGTGCAAGTATGTTAGAACTTGGGAAATTCTTCTACCCCAAATGCTGCTGGTTCTGGCTGCAGCCTTTCTCAGCTGTGAGATCACATTTATGTATTCATTTGTTTTATTCAATTTATAAGGCTGCCTAATCAGAAGCAACTCAATGATGCAATCAATAGGCTTAAAAACATCACAAAAAATAGAACAATACAGGAACTAGTAAAATAATAACAGCATATCTGGGAAAAGCATATTGAGGGAAAATTCTTCTTATTCCCATTTCTTTGTCATCATAGTTTCAATGAAATACACAAATTCCACACTCAGATACTTCGAGTGAAAGACCGTGATGAGTTCCCCATGATCCTTGTTGGCAATAAGACTGACCTGGACCTTTATCGACAGGTGAGTCCAAAGGGTTCGCTGAGTATTGCAATTTTAATCTCCACATGGTGGGGTTCTGTGGTGAATTATGCAGCTTAATGTTTTCAATCTATCGAGCAAGCCCATGTTCAGCAAAATACCACTATCTCTTAGATTAAATATGGCATAGCCCTATAATCTTCCAAATGTTGCTGAACTACGATTCCCAGCAATTCTGGATCATGAAAGTAATAAGAAGAGATGCTTGGAGATCTAGATAAACATACTGGAGGGCTGCAGGTTCCCCTACCCTAACTGAATATTGACTGTTTTCTTACAGCAGGGCCAGGGCATCCTAGAACAACCATCTCCCTCCCTCCCACTTGTACATTCCAGATGCAAGGCTAGAAAAAGTTTGACATCAATTCCAGTGGAAGGAAATATTTTCTTTCTCATTTCTTGGTCCAAAGAGGATCATGCTAACTCAACTCATCCCTCTAGAGCAGAGAGCACTCCAGCAGAGTATGAACAAAATATTTTGCATTTTGCTGAATTAAAGCAATATCAGTTACAACTAAAATATTAATATGAAAATATAAAAAGGGCACAAACTCACCAAGGCTGCTGGTGGATTCTAGTCAGGACAGTGCCCAGTTCTCAGCTGGTGGTATCATGGCCACTGTTGCTATTAGGAGGCAACTGTGAATGAAGAACTGGAATGTAGACTCCAAATGAGTTCTAATACTGGGTTCATTCGAAGGGGGAAAACTATTCCAAACTCCTGAGCAAAGTCAAGAACAAAAAAAAAGCCCCGCCTCAAGGAAGGTATGAAGGCAAGGGCAGCAGAACATTAGGTTAGACCTCTCATTCCTTTCATCCCCATCATCCAGAGCAGACTCTGGGATCATAAGGGGCACAAATCACCCCAAACAAATTACACTAGACTCAGCTTTAGTCTAGAAGAAATGCTATTCCACACCAATGTAATAGGGGTGACACATAACAATGACTTTCTCAGCTGCCAGGTAGGTAGAAGGCTAATGGAATTCACCCACCTGTGGATCCATGTCACATCAGATGCATGGGTCTTTCAGATAGTATCACACAGCCACATAAGTTATTTTACAAGACCCCCTGAGGTTGTTTTACCCCATCCCCTAGGTCATGCAAAGGACAAAACTTGTTAGTCCTGAAGGCTATCAATCACCTGATAGGCAATATAGGCAATCAAGTTGTTTCCACCTGGCCACTGATTCTCCAGCTCATAAGGCATATTAGTCATCATTTCCAAGAATAAGGAATGGTGCACCATCCTGCACCTCAGGGTAGTGAACCACCACATTAGATAATTGCAGGTTTCAGTATCCAGTTGGCCTTGGACTTATAGTAGGTTTACCTACACATTCCAATCCATCTTCCCCACAAAGAAGTTCTTGAGACGTGAATGCCATGGCACTCAGTATCAATTAAAGGCCATTGAGCCTGTCATCAGTATCCACAGTATTGTGACTGTCATAGCCCATCTCAGATCTCAGCAAATGTACACATGTACTCCTATCTGATCCTCCTTCATTAAGCCGGGATTGATGGCGGGACCTTAATGCATATCTTTGAGAACCTGGGCTTCGTAATCAATGAAAACAAGAGCACCCTTCAACTAGTGCACCACCAAAGCACATTGGCACCATTCTAAAATTGAAAGAGGCCTTACTTTCCTGCCAAAGGAGAGACAGGAGACCATCCAGGCACTAGTTGCATTAGTTGTTCAGACCAGGCCTCATGATTCTCACCAATCTCCAGGCCAGATGATTGCCTGGATAATATTAATACCATGGACATGATTTCACTTCTGAATCCTCCAGTAGATGTGTCTCCTCCCTTTCAGGAACATAATGATCTAATCTCCAAAACACCTGGCATTCCTAGCAAAGGTGAGGAGCTCCCTCAAGTGGTCACCAGGTCCAACTCATCACATACACCAGCCTCAAGTAATGAGGGACATACTGCTAAGGCTGAGTAGCCTAGAAGGAAGAAATTCAAAGTAGCATATATCTCTTGGAACTACAAGCAACATGACTAGCTCCAATTACAGACTCTTCTAAAAGGCCAGCACATCCTCCTCCTAATAGATCAGAACTACCAAAGCCTGCTTCAGGAGAAAGAGAAGAACTGGATCAAGGTACCTGATGAAGAAGGCAAAGTCCTACATAGGACCAAGGAAAGGAAAATATACCATCTCTATGGCATTCAGAACATGGCAACATATTAGCTCAGCCATGAAGATCTGGATCCTGGTGAATGCAATTTTTTAGAGCAAATTAGAGCAAGCTCTTGAATCTTTATCAGTTGGGGAACTGACCATTACAATAGACTTCAATTCCCAGAATTATCAGCAATGACCATGCAGGTGAGGAAGTCTGGAACTCGGTGTTCAAGCATCTGAGCTGTCCAAGTTGGGAAAGACTGGAGTATAGTAGAAAATTCTTGGATTAATTATCAACTCTTCTCTGATGGAAGATTTATTGAGAGCGGACAGGCAGAATTGCCTCAGTTGAGCTCCAAAATTGCAAGAGAATGAGAAAAATCATCTTGATTTAGGGAAAGAAGCATTTGAAGGAAAAATATGATCACCAGAAGGCATCATGGATCCCTCTCTCCCTCCCCACACCCCTTCCTTCTTTTGTTTCTCATCTTTACATTTCATGTTAGCTCAACAAATAAAGGTCTGGAACCATGCATTTGATGATGGTAACATCTAGGCTGGCTGAGAAACAACTCTGAGGTTGACTTGGGACATTGCTTGGCAAAAATTCATACTAAATATTTCTCATTTTCCTTCCTCATGCTGCTATATCCTCATGTATTTCTGTACTAAGATCTTTTCTTACTTATCTATGTGGTCAGGTGCCTGAAGAGGAGGCCCTTCGCTTTGCTCGGGAAAACCGAATCCCCTACATGGAAGCCTCTGCAAAGATCCGATTCAATGTGGATGAGTCTTTCCATGAGTTGGTCCGAGCCATCCGGTAAGAGGGAGGCAGTTGGGGCTGAACCATGTACTATGAAAGAACTGAAACCCCCCCACACCGGAAAAAACTATTTTCTATGACAACATCCCTCAGTATGAAAGGCTTTTTCTGATTAGATATTCGCTGTTTTTTCTTTAGGAAGTTTATGTTCTGTCTTTCTGCTCATACTGTTCTCAAGGTAGTTAACAGCAATTAAAAATAAAAACAAAACATAAGTATAAAAACAATGCAATTAAAATCAAGCCAAAGTTAAAATTGATAACTATTAAAACAAAATCAGTTCACTGGTTATGGGTGAAATAGATGGATTTTCAGTCTTTTCCTAGATACTGGGAGAGTAGGGGCCAAGCACACTCCTTGGGAAAGGCATTCCTTAGCCTCGGGGCTATGGAGAACAAGGTCTGTCTTTCTCCCTTTATCTCCCATTCTCTCCTCTGACTCTTCCCATGTCTCTCACTCTCCGTTTAGCAGCCAGAGAGAGATTGATTGGATCAGAAACCTGGCGTGCTTCCTTCCTTCCTTATAATGGCTTTTGAAATTCCAGGTTGAGGACCACATGAGATTAAATTCAAGGCCATTAAGTGGCCTGAGGGACGTAGGTTGCCCACCCAATATTAGCAATTCCATATATTTTTATAGAACAGGGTGGTGGCGGTGACTGTGATGATGATGCCATCCACTTTCTTGTGTGATGCAGCTTCCTCTCTGAAAATGTGTATTTCAGACTGTGGCTACGTTTCAGCTGCAGCTAACCAGCTGTGTCCAGTATCCCACTTTGGCCCTAGGAAGCAGATTCAGCTATTCAGTAAAGATTCCAAAGCAAGGAGGAAGGGTGGAACTGGAAGGCCAAAGCACCAAGCTGAAGGGTTGCACTGTCTCTGGTGGACAACTCATTTTGCAGGCCTCACCCTAGAGATTTCTGCTATGAAACGTGAAAGCATGTTAGGTCCTGCTTTCTATTTAGAGTTGCATCGTTCAGCGTGTGTTGTTGCGGGGTCTTGCCCACCATTGCTGGAGCTGAACTCTAGCTCACAAGCTGAAGATGTGGACTTTTTCACTGGTCTGTAATGAAGGGCCATCCAGCATAGTGGGTGGGGTGAGAGTAGTCTTGGTTGCATTCCAGCCAGCACTTTCCTGGAACCCCCCCATGCTGTAGCACAAAGGAATGGTCATTAGTACACTGCTTCCAACCATATAGCTTCCTGGGCAGGAGCAATTGCCCCCCTCCAGGGATATAAGTAATGTTTTTGCAAGTGGTGCTTATCTTATGTAAGAACTTTTCCAGAACGTAATGTGACCCAGCATGTGCTCTTTAATGTCGTTTCCTTTGCTCACTCCAATTTTCTTTTCTCGGCAGGAGGTTTCATGAGTTGGAATCTCCCCCTGCCCCAGCCATTCACCCCAAAAAGAAAGAACGCAAAAGCTGTCCTTGCTCCGTTCTGTAAACTGCCATCCCGCATCAAGCAACGCAGCCTGGAAGAGGAAGGAGAGCAGCTCAGATGCCCCCCAACAAAGAGGACAGAGCAGGGTTTCTCCTAGTTCCACCTCCCCTACTACAACCAGGGCTGGCACTGTGTATTTTCTAGTTATACCAAAATGTTACCATTTTTCTATTGTTGCAGAGGAGTCTGCAAACTGGGAATCAGGCAGGAACTAGACAAATCCTACTCCTCCAACCTATCCTGAACCTACGGGAGATGCATGCAATTTTGTTTGCTGTACTCTGGCACTTTGCCCTCCTCTGTTCTTCCATGGAAATTGCATAAAAGGTACCCTTTTTTGCCAGGAGGCAAAAAGCTTTATTCGTTTTAAGTAAAAGAGGTACAGGGTTGTAAATTTCACTGGTAGTCCAGTGATATATTGAGTTAAAGAATAGAAATCAACAGAGGATCATATATTTCACCGCAGCTAAGGGCATGCTTTTGCACATACACAGATATACTTACATGTTCAAAGACCTATAGTACAAATGCATTTTAAAAGGTACTGTAATTTTTCTATTCCTTTTTTAAAACATCCTAGCTCAGACTTAAGCCATACATGGGCCAAGCAACAAGGGAAGCAGCTGCAGACACAATTATACTTTCATTTCTTCAAGTTGCTGGTACTTTCTTTTTCCTAGAGTAGGGCTAAAAACAAGCACACTTTACAGCAGTGTTTTTCAAACTTGGCAACTTTAAGTAGTGTAGACTTCAACTGCTAGCTGGGGAATTCTTGCTGGGGAATTCTGGGAGTTGAAGTCCACACATCTTAAAGTTGCCAAGTTTGAAAGACACTCCTTTACAGTAAGGGAGTTTGCAACATTGGGCTAGCAAACTCTTTTGATATTTTAACAGAAGGTTGTGAGGGCTCTCATAATATGGTTGCCATATTGTGTGAGTCACCTATTCACAAAACAATTACTATGATCGGTGTGACCAATTACAAAATACAGCGTCTCCTCATTTAGCAACCGCAATTCGTTCCAGCAAAATGGTCGCTGAGCGAAATGATCGCTAAGTGAACCACATGACACAGAGACACTGCAAAGATCACTGGTTGCTGCCATCTCATTCAGATAAAGTTCTCTCATACAGCACTGCCAGCGTTACTCTCTGTCAGGTGCAGAAATTTGGTCATAAGGGCACATGTTGGTCGAAAATGATTTTTTTACTACCGTTTACTACCATCGTAACTGCAAGAAGTCACTAACTTAGGTAGTTGCTAAACGAGGACTGGCTGCATCCATAAGGCAAATACATGGTGATGCTTCCTGCAGAACCATTTAACAGCTCCTCAACCTCCTACCATCCCAGCTTACTGTTTTAAGATGGTGAATGTTGGAAACCTTGAATGCTTAATTACTAGAATTAAATTTCAGTGCCAGACTTTTTAAAATTGCTCTGTTCAGGAACAGAATTATTGTATACTTTGAAGACATGGCCAGCTTCTGTTAAATTCCTTCTTTGTTCCCCACTTCTGTAATGTGCTTGTAAGGTTAAGTGATGACAAGGAACCTTTCTTAAAAAAATTAGCTCTTTGTGTTAGTAAATTTTCCACTTAGCAGGGCTTCCCAACATCTTCAGAGGTACTATCATGTTGAAGTATACTATTATATTGAAGTATCAGTATTGCAGTTGCATGCATTTTTAATTGGATGGTTTTTATCAGTAGATCCTTACATCCATTTTCCAAAGCTTGCATGCCATTAAACAGTTCCATCATCTAAGATAACCTTCCCCAGACCTCAAATGTGTTAAGACTACAATTCTCAGATTATATTAGGGTGGAGTAGTGGTTAACATGTTCAATCTGGATCTCTTTGATCATGGTCATAGAAGCTTGCTGGGCCAGTCACTGTCTCCCAGTCCAACTTACCCTACCAGGTTGATATGGGAAAAATGAAGGGGAAAGTGTTAGCACTTGGACAACATACAAGATATAGATAAAATTCTCAGCAGGCATGACCATGTGCATAATTGGGAAAGGCTATCCTGCTAGAACAATCTATTGATGCTCCCAGTATTTATGTTCTAAATATCTGCAGTTTATAAAGCAAATGGATGTATTGAACGGGCAAGTTTGAACTGTCAAACATACTTGTGTGGTTTGAGTCTCTTATTACCCTTCTACCATGTTGCAGAGCATTGCATTCCAGCTGTAAATGCCAAAGAGTCTCTTATGCAAAGATTATAAAGCCTTGGGGTTTCCCCTTAAATGCAAACTGATTGTGGCAAAAGCCCTCATAGACTAGAGACTCTATTAATTCTCCAAGGCCACAGTTACCAAACCGCTGCAGCGCCAAAGTGAACTCACAAGGGCACCATGGATATTTTAAATTTCCAAGGGAAGCCGCAATACTCAACATCTGTCAGACACTGCATGAACCAGTAGCCTAGTACTGTATGTTTTGTTTCCCTCGGAAATTTAAAATATCCTGTGGTACCCGGGTGAGTTCGCTGTTTCTATGAAGCCCACGGTTCTGAAACGGCACCATGAACCAAGAAAGTTTGGGAACCTCTGGTACAAAGTGTTATTCTAAGGCTAAAAGGAATATGCACACACACACAAAGGCACAAAGACACAACAATGAAACTAAAAACCTATTAAATGTTAAAGTGGCCATAGGCTGTGAATGTATGACCTAACCATGATTTTAATAAAAGGGAAACATTCCCATTACCAGTGTGTAACTTTACTGTTGTGGTACATAACAAGCAGATACAAAGGCTTGCTTTGCTCAACATGTTAGGCTAAGGAAGCTGATATACTAAGCCACAATATGGTTTATTTGCTTGACCACAGCATATTCTGTGGGAACAAATGCACATTGTGTGAACTCAGCCACTCTTTTAGTGTTAACTCCAAAAAGTCAGCTAACTTTTCTAACAAGTAGGAATCTTTCCTAAAAAAAGGGGGGGGGGAATCTTCTGAAAATTCTGGCCCTGCCAAATTTGTGCTTTGATCCTGTCCCCTTTGCATTACTGTTCTCCTTGGTGTAACTCCCCAGTGAGGTTTATTGGCAATGAAAGGTTGCCATTCCTGATACACATCAGCCTTCATGTGATACTTTGACAAATGCTCTTCAACAGATTTCCCTATCTACTCAAATATGGGGTGGGGTGCCTTTTTAAATGCATACTTCTGTATCACATGCTACATACATATGTGTGTATGCTTGAGCATATGGAGAATGCTATAATTTTTATAATTGAATTGCCTGTTAATGAGAAATTTAACATGTCTGTGCACAACTGACAAATAGTATACATTTTTGTACACAGTAAGCTGGGGCGGAAAATTTTGAAAACTGCAAGTATATTAAAAAATATAGTGGATAAGCATACGTAATAACTCAGTTTGAATTGATATGGAGAATTAAATGTGTTCTTTACTAGTCAGTCTAGAAGTTCAAGTCTTGAGAACCCTGGAGAAATACAAACAGTGCAATTCCTCCCAGATAAAAAAATGCTTCCTCCAACCTGAAACAAGTTTCTAAATTCTGCATCCTCTTTACAAATCTATAGGAATAGCAGTATCTTTTTTTCTCAGTATGAGCAATATGCAATCGGCATTTTACTACTAAAGTTGTGCAAAAGTTATATATACAAAATAGCAATGAAACCACCACTGGAAATAGAATTTTGTAATAAATGACAGATAAGGAAGGGTGCCTTGGAAGTTGACCAACAGAAAATACACAGATAGAATAGAACCAATAGAAAATACACAGTAACTGACCAATAGAAAAGACTTTATGACGTCTAATTGACATTACTGGAAAGACTGCCTCTGCCCCACGTGGGCTGCTGTCCTAGTTTGTAACTAAAACAGTGCTGCTATTCTGCCTGGCAGGCACATGTACTGTTGCGATGATGTGGATAATCTTTCATCTGATAGGGAAGCACCGTAAATAAAAAGTGGAACCAGGAATAGTGTTCCTAGTGCCCAATGGCCTTCAGGAATTGCGCAGGAGGAAAATGTTGAGCGAGGGTTTAGGTAAACTTCGGAATATGGATCAGACCACCAAGATGTTGAGACCAAGAACCAGGGTCTCCTGCTTCAATGGGAGAAATGGACCTAGGCAGGCTTGGTGGGAGTCTATTTTCCCCCATCATTACCCATCCTACTTCTGCCCTCCTTTTTTCCATGGCCACCCCAATCTCAACAAAATGAACAAAGCTGTGCTTCAGGCATTTGATTTTTGCAAAGAAAAGTGTTTTTTGTCATTTTGTTGTGTACACAGTATACAATGTGAGTTTTACATATTGAGAGAAAAAAACGTCTCAGACACTAATAATAAACAATAAAAATATATAGGAACATCCAATAATACAGAACACAAATCCCATATCTCAGAACAATACCCTTGAGGCGCGAACAAGATACACAGAAATACACGTCGTAAAAAAGGGGGCCTTTCAAGATCCAAATATAAGGGTGGGTGGCGGAGGAGGAAAGTCTTTTTTTGTCACAGGAAATTGGGCTGTACATGTGTGTCTGTCTGTGTGTGTGTGTGTGTTGCACTTGTCCTTGATCAACTCAGAGCTGGGCCTGTCCAATTCTGGGTGCTCAAGTTTGGCTACTCTGCCCCTCCAACCGGGAGCAATGGTTTAGTAAGGTTCTGCATGGGATTGATGGTGCAAGTTTATTGTCCCAAAGAAGTGCCAAGGCTCTAGGTCCCTCTAAAATTAACCCTGTACTATGAAAGACTCCCCCCAACTCCATTCTCTCATTTCCCCAAACCCATGTTCAGCTAACCCCACTTCCACACACAGCTACCTGTCACAATCCATCACTTCTAAGGCCGAACAGCTATCAGTAACCTGGTTTATCAGGGAAAGCTGTTTTAAAAATATCTAAATTGCAAGCTTTAAAATACTCAAAGGAAGCCAGGCCACTCTCTTCTCTTTAAAACCATTCTCTTTGATTAGGGCTCATTCACCAAATTCCATCCCCCCTCCACCACGCACACTCACATACACACTTGCCAACCTCTTTTCATCCACAATAAATAAGGAGGGGAGAGAGGGAGAAAATGAGATCTAGCAGAATCTGTGTGCATATATTAGGGACACTGACTTAAGTAACCAAATGGGTCTTAACACATTTCTGTGCCCTTCAGAGATTTGTTTGAAGTAGTTCTTTACGATGAGACCACCAATTCTGAGGTGGGATTTATTTCCCTCCATCCCTGAAGTACCTTTTCACACCTCCCTCCCCACTACCCAAAATCTGAAAAGTATATTGGGGCAACTCCCAGAAGTCCTGTTGATTTGGGCAGGTGGAAAGAAATCAGGAGTCTTGGAAAGACCAAAGTTCTTCTAAGAGCAGAAGGAAAATTAAAATGGAGGAATGCTTAGTGAGGAAGGAGGAACAAGGCTCTAGAGGAGATGGGCCAGGAATAAAGGATGACTTGATGGGAAAAAATCAAATGGATGCGGAGGAGGGAGAAATAGCAATGGAGGAAGAATGAGGTAGACTTCGGCAGGGAGATGGGAATCTGACATAGGAAGATCTACATTCAAGTAAGGGATTGATTTGGGAGGTCAGTAGAAGATCCGGGGTGGGAGCAGGGAAGGATAACAGTTGGCCAAGGTGTGTGTTTGATGTAATTAGGAAGATCTGGGAAGGGGACAAGATAATGGATGGCTAGATGAGGGGTGGGGAGCCCACCTGTGAATTGAAGAAAGGGTAACTAAGACAAGGTCTTCATCCTCTAGCTCATCAGAGTTTATCATTTCAGTTTAGGGTTGGAGAGGGAACTTTGTTTAGGAGGCAGGATGGGGTAGGGGACACAAAATCTCCCTTCCCCCTCAATAACAACAACAATGATAAAAAAAATTAACAACCTCCTAATGAAAGTTTCAGTCGAAACCAAAGAACGTCACAGCTACAGGTGAAAGGAGAGAGAGAGAGAAAGAAACTCCTGCGCATCATTAAGTTCAAGTTAGTCAAATACAATATGATACATAGACTTTTTATCCTATACAGTATATACAGCTGCAGAGAGGGGGGAGCAGAATCCTGCCTTGTCAGACACCATAATATGGGGAGAATGGGGAAAAATAAACAATTATCCCTCCCTCATAGAAGTGCAGATCTACCACAGGGGAAGGGACATATCTAAAGCCCTCTATACATTCCTCCCATGATCCAAGGGGGGGGGCAATTGTGAAATCTGGGGGAGGGGAGGGGAATTTCAGGAAGTCTTGCTACAGTCTTGGCAGGTTGCTATAGATGTCACTAGGCTCTCCCCTGCCCATTTACTGCTATCTATTCAGAAAGGAGACTGGGAAGAATAGGGAAACGTTCCACATGTCCAAATGAGCTGGAATCCCCAATTCAATGGCAAAAAAGTGAATCCTCCAGCAGCAATTGCCCCATGAAAACACAAGGGGGGGACGGAGGGAAAGGGGGGTTTCTCCAGAAAGAGAGAAAATCTGTGCCGCCAGTTATGATTGGGAACAGGGAGCTTGGCAATAAATATTCCTGTTGGAAGCAAAAATAGAAGTGATCGCCATTAGTGTAAGGATGGATGGCTTCCCTTCACTCCAAACAACCGTTATTTGGCAGAGATGGGATTAGAGTTGTCGGAGAACAGGGGTCATATTTCCTGATCAGACTATGGATAAGAGGAGCTAGACACTGTATAAAGGGTGGCCAATGCACCATCCCCCCATGCTCAATTCTCAACTCTCCCTAAGGAGAAGTAAAGGTTCTTGATGGAAGAGATGCAGGATAGAACCCAGGAAATCCTGGTCCTTCTATTTTCGCCAATCTCACTACTGTCAACTCACTCCATTGAGAGAAATCGAGAAGATTTTCGGCTCTAAATCACACACCGCCATTCCTCTGACCTTCCAATGGGTTCCCCTATTCTCAACCCCCACCTGAGCAGGGGGCAAGGCTGTTCAATTAGATATTTATACATTTATATATAAATAATATTTCTCTGTACAGCCAGGGCAAAAGGGAAAGGGGTGTTCCAACCATCCAATGATTTGATGAGAACCCTCCTCAACATGTCCTGTCTGCCATCGCAAACCTCCACCCTCCACCACCGTAACAGGAGGCTTGTCCCATGTCCTGTTTAAGGAAAAAGAGAAACCCCCAAGGAGAAGGGGTGGTGGCGGTGGTGGTGATGGTGGTGAGCTGAGTCTGAACTCGTTGCCTGTAATGGTACCCCTCGACTTTCCTCTCCCCACTTCCTGCTCTGGCTCTGCAGAGGGGCAGGCGTTAGGCGGCCCCTCCTGGGGCGTGGCTCTGATGGTGGTGTCACGCACATTTGCTTTGCGCCTGAGTCAGCAACTCACTGAAGGAGTCAAACAGTTTCTCCAGCCATGGCTGGTTGCGCATGCACTGCTGCACCACCTCCTCCTGGCCCAAGTCTTCATCTTGACCCTCAATTGCCGTCGTCTGGAAAAGAGAAATGAAAAGGTTAAAATATTAGCCATGAAGCCAACCATGGAGGCAGCTGTTTCAAGATTCAGGTAGCCAGAACTGATTAAGTCGTGAGTTGGGGCCAAAGATAATAAAAACAACCCTAAAAGTCCTGAGACTTTTTAAACACAACACCATATTCTGTAATTTTTAAAGACCTTCACAATCTGCAGCTTATATACAATTCTACTTCTACATATTAGTCATGGAGGTGTAGAGGAAGATGTCTTCATTTAAGAAAGCCCATATTGTGGTTATTTTATATTATATTTGTACTTGCTTTAGTCTTTTGTTTTTATTTTATTGTGAGCCACCTAGAGTCAATTGGAGTCAGATGGCATCCAAATAGAATGTCGTCGTCGTCATCATCATCATCATCAGACAACATCTGCCTATCCCAGGTCTTGGGGAAGGACTTGATAGTCTAATCCAGTCTAAACATCTGGCTGACTGTGCGACTAATCATAATAATAAATAATAATGACAGAATTGATGCCCCCTCTCTCAGCATCATCAAATTTTGATTTGGTCCACTCTTTAATAACAAATAATGTTTGTTACAAAGTATCACTGCTATTGATGCCAGAACACAATTTCTTTGAGGAGAGTCAACCAACGTGTTCTGCTTATGTTCACACGGACTAGATGCTATGCTGGAATGATGCTTTAACAGGCTGGTAAATCAGGTACCTGATATCGATCCACTGAAACTATTTGCTCTCCAAAAGAACTTCCTGCTATATTCATTCCTCAGAAAATACAAGCTGTCAACTTCATGGCAGAAGGTAAGCAATCATCTAACTTCGGAGACAAATGTATATGGGTCAGGACTACAATACCAAGCAATTTGATTAGGTTTGATTGAACCCTACATTCTGATCTTCTTCTCCAGCAAAACAATACACCAGCATTTCTAAGAAGCAAAGTATTTACTCATTCTTGGGGAGAGGGGGTTAGTGGGAGTCTCATCATCTCAGTGAACTGTAGCCTGCTAAGGCTGCAGTCTCCCAGAAAATGGAGTGCCTTTCTTAACAGTCATGTGACCTCCAGAACAATTTGTGCACTGAAGCCAAGTTCTATAACATTGAACACATGGAGTTGACAATAATGTCTCTATTTTCCATGCAGATAAACTAGTTTATGCACCCTGGACTTCACCTGAAACTTGTCCACTCAACCAGTGTTGTTAATAGTATGTGAGTGACTGTTCATGTGTTTGTGTGAAAGAGAGGGAAAAGGAGAGACAGGGAATGGTATCAGAGAATATATCAATCTAAGACAGGCTGGCTGGTTTACACAATGTGTTAGGCTATATAACATGGTTTGTTTGCTTTTGTCTTAGCATGATGTGTGAACCCAGCCTATGACTAATGTGACAGCAGTGATGCAAAAAAAGAAATGAAGCAGTTCAAGTGTTGGGCTAGGACTGGGGAGATGTAGGTTCAAGTCCACCCTCAGCCATGGAAGCTCACACTGGATGACTTTTGGTCATTCACTCTCCCTCAGCAAAACCTACCTCCCAGAGGTAGGGTGTTGTGGGGGAAAAAATGGAAGGAAGAATCCTACGCATGCTGCCTTGAGCTCCTGAATGAAAGACAGGATATAAATCTAACAAACTACCCACAAACCCAAATGAGGTTAACTCAGGGCCTTTACTTACCTCATCCTTACAACGCAGAAAGGTGTGGTATTTGTAGTGGTGAAGGGAATGGTAGAGAGTGTAGAAAAAGGACTTCTCCACTTCCACATTGAATTCCTGTTGCAATAAGGACAAAGAGATGAGGGAAACCACTGCATGTAACATTTCCCTGCAACTTTACAACAGCCATGAACTTCTGAAGTCTCATACTAAATATTCCCTCTAAACCAGTGTTTCTCAACTTCACGTCCACACATCTTAAAGTTGTTGAGGTTGAGAAACACTGCTCTAAACTATTAATTTTTTAAAAATCTAGGAAGTTTTTATCTGCCCTCATCTTCTCCTTTCAGCTTTTGCTAAACTGCTCTTTCCTTCCAGTTACCATGGGCCCATCCCCACCTCAGTACCTGAAACTTTGATAGGGCAATCATTGGGCCTGATCTATGCATACAGGAAAATGAGGTGGAGGAATAAAGCCACAGAATCAGGTGTCTGATGGACAATGCTGTTTCAGAATGCCAGAGATGGAGGTGGGGATGAAAGATGCCGTTGTAAAGCCAATTTTATAATTCACAAAAGAGAGAGTTTTCCTCCAAGCTAAAAGACAAAACATAAAGGAGTATTCAAAAATAGGATATGAAAGGGTAGATCTTCCTACCCACTAATTTCATGCCCATCACTAAGCTTCCACTCCTAACTGACCTTCCTTTATTCCCGTTTCTTGCCAAAATCTACCACGCAGTTTTCCAAAACCAATTCTCACCAGAAGGGATAAGCTTGAACTTCCATAACTGCTAGATCTGTTGGCTGAGAAATCTACTACTATCTTCCTTCCATGATAATTTACTTCACAAGTCCCACATTAGTTAAGCCTTTCACTTCCATAGCTGTTGATGGCAACAGAGATGTTTATTTCTTTTCCTTTCTTCTGGCTATTTTTCTTAAGGCAATGTGCATTTCAAGCCAGGGTCTTGAAAAGCAGAGGGGAAAAAAATTCCAGAGATATTGCTGATGAATAGAAGTTTGTAAACCCTAATGATTTCTTAAACTAGAGTATCAAGATCTGAGTATTTTCTTCCCTTAAAGACGAACAGGTAGTCCTCACTTAACAATCATTTGTTCAGCAACCATTCAACGCTACAGCGGTGCTGAACTAATGGCAATAATGGCTGGTCCTCAAAGTTACAGTCGTTGCAGTGCCCCGTTGCAGTCATGTGATAAAAATTTGGGTGCTTGGCAGCCGCCTGCACTTATGACCACAGCATGCACTTCAATTCCCCCACCTGCCTATCTCCCCCACATCTCTGCCCTTTTGGCTGCCCTGCCCTGCCCTGCACTCCACCACCACCTACCCCTGCCCCCCCAGCTGACCTTCACTGTCTGCTTCCTCCCATTGCTGACAAGTATGGCCAGAGGCCTCATGGTGTCATGGAGGCCACGCAAAGGGCCAGCAGCTGCCTCGGCCAGGTGCACCTTGTCAGCAGCGGGAGGAAGAAGACAGCAAAAGTCAGCTGGGACTGGCGGGCGGCGGCAGGGCCAGCAGAGGCAGTGGAGTGCAGGGCAGCCAAAAGGGCAGAGATGGTGGGGGGGAGATAGGCAGGTGGGGGGAGTTGAAGCACCCCTGCAGTTGTAAGTGCAGGTGG